TCACTAATTTATTTAATTTATTTTTTCAAATTCAATATTTAGGTTGTCAACTCATAGTGGTCTTTTAAATTAATAAATTAATTGCACACATTACGAATATTATTTAATAGTGATTGAAATTAAACGTACTCACAKGTATTTATTATATTATTCTAAAACATATTATTTAGATATTTAATATTCTTTCTTTTTAGGTTTTTTTCTTAAAAAATTGCATCATCATGAAAAATCCGTCAACCCTTAATCGTCAGCTCTCAATGTGTGACATGATTTCCAATGATGTATCTGAAACAAACAACCAAGGTGTTCTAAAATCATGTGTCACTCATAACATCTGTGCAGATAATCCCAAACCGGATAACAATTTTTTATGTCCATTTCTTCAATGGCAGAAGCACAACGAGGAATTACTAAGCCGATCAGTTCAGGGGCATCATCAATCGAATGTGTAAGAATTTATGAAATGTTACTATTTAAATGTATTACATATTTGAAAATTATCTTATTRCCTAATTATGTACTCATAATAAATATAAACTTAGGGTTGAGTATAATGTGCAGCGTGCAATAAACACATTATCYGGATCTGTGGATAAATCTATGTTGGATAGTACCAATAAAATTGCTGGTATGGCTAGAAGCATAGATAGATGGAAAGAATACATGATTCAAGTTATAGAAAACATGCGAAACGAAATTGATTTACTAATTTTGAGTAAAACAAAAATCCAAAAAGCCCAAATGGCGTTGCGTATTATATGTTCCATATCTGCCGAGTGCTTAGAACGACGGTCGTTTAGATTGGATACTGATCTCACATTAGATCCTGGACAAGTGGAGCTTGTTAAAGTATTACTTTAATCCTTAGATACATTTTTATWGACAACTTAATATAATAACCTGTAAATAGGAAAAAGAACTAATTTCTGAAATTGGAGATATATTTTGCCGCATGTTGTGCCAGATAAAAGTTCAAATAAACCGAAATAAAAACATGAAGGCTCGACTCGAAAAAAATTGGAGTGATAAATATCAGTCATTTCAAATTGATACCACAAATTTAGGTCTGAATATTCAGACGCCTATCATTATGTCACATGCGGACGTTATCAAAGATTCTGAAAAGTATGACCAACATATTGACACAAAATATTTTTAAATTTGGACTTTTTGTATTTTAATATTCGCATATTATAYTATTTTTTTTTTTACTATAGCACTTGCTTATCAGTACCAGAATGGGAAACAATTACTAAAAGTTTATATGAAGAAGCTGAACAAATTTTGAACGAATCAAGACAATTAAGATCCCTAGTTGACGATGTACTCAAAAAAAGCGCAAATAGGTTAAGAGATCAAGCTGACACAGTTGATATTGCTCTGGCGCGATTTATATCCGATACACAACAAATTGGGCAAGCAATTGAGAACGACTTGAAACAAGTAACTAAATAATTTGAAAAATAAATTATATTCTTAAACTAAGAAATAGATATACTATGTATCTATAATATGTAACAAATTTTAATTTTTTAACTCTAAAATATTTCGTTGGTATTATTATGTTGAATTTAATTTTTGACCTTTAAATAGCTACCTATGTGTATGTATTAAWTTTTTTTTAGTTTTAATATTGCCATCAATTAAATATCAATTGTTATAACATACGAAGCTAATATATAATTAAATGAAAAAATAATTATAAGCTGAAGTGATTACGCATTTACACCTTTAATTAATTGAAACTTAAGTTCAGCGGGGATCACACAATAATTTCATATTTTATTCTCAAATGTTAGCCATTACTATCTATTTATAAATTATGTATAATAGTCTTAAACATTTATAGCAGTGTAGAGTAAATTAAATTTAAAATGTAATAAAAGCATCTCACTTCCTTTGGATAAAAGTTACTTTTACGTTACTTATAAAGTAATTTCGTCACAGTTATTCATCATTTATAAATTTCAATTTATACTGATTTTATTTATAATAAGTAGTTGGGGACTTCACGTTTTTAATTCATTGCAATTTATGAAGTACTCTATTTTATACATTACGTGTTATTATTATTAATGACTAAAAATATTATAGGTAATAMAAATTTAATTATGATAATTAAATTAAATTTATATTTAAGTTCGTTATTTTTTCATTAATGTCTTACGTACGTTATTCACAATCGGTATAAATTTCAACTAGAAAATGGATCTACAAATAAAACAATAATCTTATTTGTATACCGATCTTCTATTAATAATTAATAATGATATTAATAAAAATTGAAATAYATTTTGTATGGTAACTTTTTATGAATTTGATTTCATTGATTAAAAATAAACTGTAGGTGGTTCAACGGTTGGGTGATTCGGAAAATTTAATCGGAGACCTCCTTCGCGTAATAATGAATTTAGAAAAAGCGAAGCAAACTGCTGAAACAAGATTACACAATCGGCTAAAACGTCCGGGGGATGAGAATGTCAAGGATAATGCACAACTAAGGTATTTTACATTATATTTTTCGGATCTACTGTAAAAAAATGTGCCTAATTTTCCTATGTTATATACATATTTTAAATATGCAATGTTACTGCATATGATACCGCTTCTCAATCAAATATTTAATGATAAAAACAAAAAAGGCAGTAATAACCGAGCAAATATATACTTATGTACTTATATAAATTCGCRGGGCTTTTGAATTTGTTAGCTTTTGGCAGTGATTTTTCATGATAAATTCATATTAATTGGGATAACCCTTTCCGAATCCATTTTATAGTTGGCGATAACAATCCTAGTCTATGTGCAATCACGTACTATATATTTCAACCATAATTTTATATMCATAGTCGTTGATGATTATACATACTAGTAACAAAATCAATAAGTAATCAATTCTGTAATGTATAAAAATAAATAATATTTCTTTTAGCCTTATTTCGGAAGTTAAAAACCTAAGCRATCAATTAAACACTCTCAATTATCAGTTGGACTGCGCCAGAACTGGACATTTGGGTTTGCAAAAAGCTCGTTCGTTACTCGAAGACGATTCTCGAGTTAAAAGGAAAACACTTTGGATCGATAGCATTAGATGCCAAAAGATACGAGCGCATTATCCTTCCATGAACATATTACTTGGCCAATGAAAATTGAAATGCTATGATTATTTTAACAGTTAATAAAAATTAAATAAAAATATTTTTATTGTAGCCYATCAAAATACTAATAAATAATAATATATAATGCGATATATTAAGACCATAGGTACTCGCCATAATTAACTATCAAATTATCATTTAAAAATATAAACACAAATWATCTTGGCACTGAGCTAGACCACGTATTAAATATTAATACAATAATATGCATTTACAAACAATACACATTTTTATTTATCAAATMAAATAAAACACTGTATTGTAAATTATTGGTGTTTAGTAGTAATTAGTGTATTACCTATATTATAACATTGTAATTTATAGTTTGGCCAGCGTCATTCTAAATTTGTTCAGAAAATATTACAATAATCTAGTGCACCAGCTTCGCCATTTCTCGTTGAAAAAATTAAACAAAAAAACAAAGCGACACACTACTACATACACAAATATTCGGTTAGGCAAATAGTTATACACGTGTACGCTATACAGTCTGTAGGAATATAAAACACATTGATTCAGGAAACCTAATATTTTAGTCATTGTGATCATCTTAATTATTAGATTCTATAACAGCATCAAAATTCTTAAAATAATATATATATATATATAATATTAGATTTATTATAGATTTGATATAAAATTTTCTTTTTATTGAAGCGATTTTGTTTATTCATAAATTTTCAATGTACTTTTCTTATTTTTAGCTTGCTTTATTATTAATACAKAGTGTAACAGAAATACCTGACAATAGTGAAATAATTGTTGTTTTAATCAAATTTTAAACTTAATACCCACCAATAATGACATTTTAATTTTAATGATTTTTTTGGGGAAAAATAGTGACCAATTTGTAAGACTAATTTTTAGACAAATTTCGACGGTAAAAAGTCTAAATCAAGTTATTTATTTTCTAAAATATCAATTTTTTTCGGAGTAAATCTTTTTTTACGTTATAACCTTATAATTTATAAGTTTATAACTTTTTTCTAAATATTTTTTTTGGTAATTTCCTGACATAATTATACATAAGTATAATTCTTAAATTATTTAGCGTACAATTTTCACGGTAATTTGTCACTCGTTTAACTATACATAGTATCAATTTTTTTCGGGTCATTCAGATCAACCCTGTAAATTTATATTATTTTGGGGAAACTTAAATGCTTAATATATACTGTTTAACATATTGTTTTTTATTATATATTTTACTATAATTTAATTTAATTTAACTCTATCCCTTTTAAAAAATAATAGCTTCTAAAGAAAGAAACAAAACAACAAAACATAATAATGTCTAATACAATTTTGTAATTTGGTATTATAATTATGACTGTTATTATTATAACGTGACCATAATTTATTTTCTTCTATATAAGTCGGATACGTGTACATTTTAATAAGAAAACCATATAATTTTGGGTAAAATAAAATTTTTTTATTGGAAAAAACTKTAATTGTTTAAATAAAAAGTGATAATAGAAAAACGTAGCTGTGGCCAATTTGTTTTTTATGTATGAATGATCTCTTTACATGATTTTAGATTCTGAGCGGAGATGAATAATGATAATAAATAAATAATAAATAATAAACATTTATGTTTATTTCTTTTTCATTTTT